TCCCCTCACCCCTCTTAAAGTATTTAGCTGAAGAAGCTGGCAGATAAGAGAGTGACAGACAGACAGGCAGCAGTGTGAGGCCACAGGAGAGTCATTCTTCCCAAGTTATCAGTCCGTCCATCCATCACTGGAGAAGAGCTTTGATTGCCTGGTTGTCGGTGGCTTCAAAGGCGGTCAGTCCATCTGGGCCTTTCACAGTCTTATCAGCACCCTGGAAAAGAGGAAAGGGTCCTTATTATTAATTGAGCCCACAACTTAAGGGAAGAGAATGTAAAACTAGATCACGTGGCATAGGTTAATGTTTACATCAAGAATTAAAAATTCCTTTACTAGTGGAGTCTATTCTACTGCAGAAAAACAAGTTGGCAAGGCTATGGATTAATGTTGGAAAAATGCCACATTTTTCAGGCACTAAGAACTGTAAGCTACAAAATTAACATAGAATAAATAAAAACCAGTCATTGCCTATCGTATATCTAATTAGGCTTTAAAAATAATATCCCTATGCACAGTATGAAATGGGGAAAAAGTAAATCACTTTGCTAAAGTATTCTTGTGACAAATTATTTTTTTCTTATTTGAAACACTTTTTGTAGAGTGCATAGTATTATATACATCAAGAACATACATAGTATTGGTCATTTTACTTGTAAAAACTTAGCAGTAAATGCCTGAGAGGTGGACTGTAAGAAGGTTCCCTGTGATACTGCAGGGAAATATTCAGTGCAGACACCAGACTGCTCTGAACACTTAACCTGGAGAGTGCTGTCTTGGAACACTTTATCTGCAACATGGCATTCTGGTTTTGAGAGAGTGTGTGTGTGCGCCTGTTTGTGCAGGTATGTTGTTTTATCTGTCTGCCCTTTCTGGATGAAAGCTCCATGGGAGCAGTAATTCACCACTGTACTCCCAGCACCTGGAAAAGTGCCTAGGTGCATGGTAGGCACTCTTCTGCTCCCAAACCAGGTCTGAGACTTAACTCTCAGAGACAACACCCTACTATCTGAGGGTTCTCTTCAGCAGCTCTAGCCCCAGTCAGCATTTACTCACCACACGGTCTTTAGAATTCTCACCCACTCCCCTTGCCAAATCTCAGACATTCTGCTTGTTCCTCAGACCTACAGAATTGTTTAAACTTGGCATATATGGTCCTTTAGAGGCTAACACTAGTCAAATTACCAGTCTCTTTTCTGGTTAACCTCTCCATGCTCTAATCCTACAGAATTTCTCACCTGTTCCTGCCATGTGTCATGCCTTTATCCATGGGGGCTCTACATGGGATGCCTTACCCTTTTCTTTGGCAAATCCATCCATCCACTCAACAAATACTTACTGAATGTTTAATGTGCACATTCTGTATAAAGAATCAAAGAAAAATGAGACAGGGTCTGCCAGTCTGGCTGGTATATGAGTCAGACAACTCAACCAATACAACACCATAGGAAGAGAACAGTAACAGGGATGAGTGGCTTGTCATTAGAACAGGATGTGGCAGGAGGGCGTGAAGGAGAAAGCCTTTCAGGATGAGGTAAAATGCTTGAGCTGAGTCTTGACAAGGATGTACAGGATGCTTAGGTAAACCAGGGAGGAGATGACATTCTAGGAAGTGTCATATTATTGCAAAGTCCTCCTCAGTATCATTATAAAAGTCTCTATTTTCTCATTTTCTAAATGAATTTAACTGCTTCATGGAAGATATGAAATTCAGGGTCCAGTGGGAGAGATGTCAGTGTGTGAGAACTTCAATGTTATGAGTCCCACCACAATGGTTAAGTGATAATTGGGGTAACTGTATTCAATTTTGATGGTTATTTTTATGACAAGCATTATAAACTATAATCCTGCATTAACAGTTACATATTGTAGTGAACTTCTGTTGCTTTTTGGCTACCAGAGTTTATTTCCCTCCATTTGATGGCAGTGCCCTAATTTCATCTTGGGGAATCATTTGTCCCCTACTGTTTTCAAAAGTTTTAATTATGGGTATATAACAGTTGTATATATTGATGGGGTATGTGATGTTTTGATATAGGCATACAATGTGTAATAAACAAACCGGGGCCCTTATAATATCTTTGTGTTAGAACATTCCTATTCTACTCTTTTACTTATAGATCTTATTCATTATAACTGTATTTCTGTTTCCCTTAACTATTCCCAGTGTCCTCTACTATAGTCCTAGGATTATAAAACCAAGATGCTTATTTTCCTCAACAAATTTCAAAGATTTATTTAACTCAAGTGGAATACTCTCTTCAAGATTTTGAATCTTGATTGAAGAGATCAAAAGAGAGAAAATAAGAAGTTCGAGCTCATATCTGGTGCATCACGTTGCTGAAACAGCTGAGAAATTCCTGCTACCCAGAGCACTGAGGTTGCCACAGCTCAATCTCTTCTCAGCCTGGAGCCCAGCTTTTCCTGTCGATTCTGCAACCAGGCCAGTATCTTTTCAAAAATTCCTTTTCTGCTTGTTGACTTATCTCTGCTGTTTGCTACCAGAAGTATTTAGCTGATAAAATATTTTAAAAATGTATATGTCACTTTTTTCTAATTATGATGCAAACTTCTCAGAAAACTCGTAATTCTACACATTAGATACAACTGTTAACATCTTACTGTTTCCTTCCACTCTCCTGTTCTAAAGATGTATACATATATATACTTCTATAAAAATAATTGAGTGATTATAAGAGAACTAGAGTGACTATATTTATATCAGACAAAAGAAGCCTTAAGATTAAAAAAAATTACAAAGAGAGAAAGAGGGACATTTTGTAATGATAAAAGGTTCACAATTTAAAAATTCCATTTGTAATAGCATCAGAAAGGATAAAATATATCAGAATAAATTTAAGGCCATGTGAGGTGGCTCACAGCTGTAATCCCAGCACTTTGGAAGGCCCTAGGTGGGTGGATCACCTGAGGCCAGGAGTTCGAGACCAGCCTGGTCAACATGGCGAAACCCCATCTCTACTAAAAACACAAAAATTAGCCTCATGTGGTGGCACATGCCTGTAATCCCAGCTAATCTGGAGGCTGAGGTGCGAGAATCACTTTAATC